GATGTTTAAACATTCTCAGTATCCCCTGGGTTCCTTTGTGACTGCTTAACAATTAAATATTAACTCATCACTTAAAATTTTTTTTGCCCTTTTTAAAATAATAAGAGAGAGTCTATAGAAATTGAGCAGTTCAGTCATATTGGAGGTAAAGGACGGATTATTCTACCTCCTTATCATCAGCTTGTCCTTGGATGTTCCCTGGGAGTCCCATGTAGTGATAAAGACTGTTTATCTCGTTCTCTGTTTGTGAGATACGACTTCCTTAGCCTGCATATGGTATGTGAGATAAAGGCGCATGGAAGTGTGTGTTCCAATGTGTAAGTGTGAACTGGTCAGTCTTGGGTGGGCTCATGTGTTGGTCAGAATTCAAGACTGATTCTTTTAAACTCCAGTTTTGCCCCTGCTGTGAGGTGGCAGGTGAGCAGGATAATGGAAGTTTGTGGCTGGAAGGGTCAGGTTGTCTGACTTACTCTGTCAAGTTGAGGAATCCGGGCCCTGGTGGGGACTTGCCCAAGGTCGCCTAGAGCAGTGAGCCGGAGGCCCGTGGAGAACTCAGCTGCCTAGTTTCGTGGTAGCCGCTTGCCAGTCAGGATTAATCGTTCAGGTCCCAGTGTAAGTTTGGGTTAAAAAACGCTGACCTGAAGATGCGTCATTCATTCAGTGAGTGTTTTACGGAAGAGGACTCATCGTTGATTCTGGGCAGTGGCCTCTCCTAACGGCTTACCTCCCCCATCTGGATGGTTCTGGGGTTTGGGTGCAGGTGGGCGGGGTGTAGAGAGCGGCCCCTCGAGTGTGTCTGTGCATGGGGTTATTTTCTATCACTAGCACATGAGGCAATCCAGCAAAGTTAAGTCGTCTTCTGAAAATCCTTTAGGAAGAGACTGGCTCACAGGCTCTCAGTCAAGACAAATAGGCTCTTCCCCCAGCATTGGCTGTTTCTTCCTTTAAGCCCTAGAGGAAGCCACTGGGTTGCACTCGGGGGGCCATGGTGTACCCCAAACACATATTTCAGACAGTGAATCCTGAGATGTTCCCCCATGAGAGCCCCGGGGGCCTGAGCCTGAGGAACAAGGTACAGCAGCCTCAGGTCCTAGAGAGGCAGCAGCATCTACACTCAACAAAGATGGAAAACTATTTCAAGGCCTTTTACTGAATCATACAATTGACTCTGACTCATTTAAAAGCATATTTGCCCATGTGATGCCACCATAGACTATCATTTTGTTGAAACCAATACATTCCAATATGACAGTCACATAAATTAAATTGTCCCACTCTTTAATATATTTCTTCCTCTCTTCTCTCACGTTCTCCCTTTCCCCTCTTCACTTTTTGTCTCCAAACTTAGCTTCCCTCCCCCTGCCACCCTCCGCAACACTGCCCCCGATCCACCCCAGCAGAATTCTTTTAACTCTCTCTCCCCTGAATTAGAAAAGACCCTGAAGCTGGGAAAGATTGAAGGCAGGAGGAGAAGGGGACAACAGAGAATGAAATCGTTGGATGGCATCACCGACTTGATCAACATGAATTTGAGCAAGTTCCGGGAGTTGGTGATGGACAGGGAAGCCTGGCGTGCTGCAGTCCATGGGGTTGCAAAGAGTCAGACACGACAGCGACTGAACAACAACCCCTGAAAATGGTATCCCTCTTTTTTTCCTTATCTCTCCACTCCTCCAAACTTACTAATTACAGCTTATCTTTTAGACGTAAGGATAAGTTTCTTTTTTTTTCAATTAAATTTTTTTTAATGTGCTTAATTTGTGTCTTTTTAGGCAAAACAATATTGGGTGAATGCCCTCTCCTTTATTTTTTCCTCTCTTCAGTGGATGCTAATTTCCCAGCTGCTCATTTATTGGCTGTGTGACTGGACACAATTTTCTTAACCTGCTTCAGCCTGTTTCCTCTTGTGTGAAGAAGGGATAATAATAGCACTTTTCGGGCAGAGTTGTTTTTAAGAAGTTCATTGTTCAGCAGATGTTTAATGAATAGTTAAGCACGAGATGATCAGTGTTTTAATTTACTACTTGTATTTTAAATAACATGCAAATATCTGCTGCGTAAGGATAAAGAATATTTTTATCGTTCATTTAAATTTCACTTTGTTTCATTCCCACAGTATATGTGAATAAGGTTTGGCTAAGAAAACTATTTTAAATAAATAGATCTCCTCATGGCTTATAGTTTTTTGTGGATTTTATGTTTTGGAGTGTTTTAGGTTCAGAGAAACTTTTGAGAGAAAGTACAGTGAGTTCCTATATGCCCCCTTCTCCCCGCCATACACATTCTCTCCCATCTTCAACATCCGGCTTCAAGGTGGTATCTTTGTTACAGCTGATGGACCCACATTGGCCTTTTATTTTTTTAACTAGGATACTTGTAAGTATAGATTGTTTCTTAAGGTAGCCATTTCTGTGTTCCGTGATGCATCCTAAAGCCTCCCTTATCCGGCATGTAAGGGAAGGGTAGTGGGTCAATGGGGCCCAGCTGCACACCAACCTTTTATTATCTATTCAAGATGCAGGAGCTTCTTGGAATTGGATGGACGGTAAGAATAGTACACCAGTGTATCCTGTCTGACTGCCCCCTTTCTTTTCTCTCCTACTTCATGAGGTTCTTTAAGGGCCTTGAAATGCAGAAACGCAGCCCAAACCCAACAATGGGTGGGAGACAAAGCCAGCTTCAGAGATGCCAGTGTGTAATGCCGAGGGGACGTGGGCAGAATCTGCCAACAAATAATAACACCAGAGGCCATTCAGACTGAGTTCCGCGTGGGAGTGGTGAATGGGTAAGGGCGTCCCCACCAGCCCTCTTCATCCTGCCTGAGAGTACAAAGCCAGTCAGGCCGGGCTGGGGAGCATCCCAGCCTCCAGGTACTGTTCCCTCAACAGGCTACCCACTCCGCTCCCCTTGCAGCCTGTGCGGACATGCTTTGAAAACCAGGCAGGAAGATCTGGCTAGACATTAACTTTCACATTAAACTCTGCCCAAATTAAAAAGGGGACACGTGGCCCTGTGCCTAGACGGTTAGCATATTTGAGGCTGACTTTTTTTTTGCAAGGTCACCATGTTTTAGTTATAGAAGTGATAATATAATTTCTTCTCCCCAAACCAATGGACATCTTAAAAATTAATAGAAGTGGAATTTGAACCTGGGTTGTGAAAATGACTCAAGAACAAGGTCCCGAGAGCCTCCTGATTATCTTTGTCTGTTGATTTACTAAGAGAGGGAGACAAACATCATACAAGCGAGGGATAAAGAGAATATCTTCATTTTCTCCTAAACCTTTCCATCTTGATGTCTGAAGTGAAAGTCACTCAGTTGTGTCCGACTCTGTGACCCCCATGGACTGTCCATGGAATTCTCCAGGCCAGAATACTGGAGTGGGTAGCCTTTCCCTTCTCCAGGGGATCTTCCCAACCCAGGGATTGAACCCAGATCTGCATTGCAGGCAGATTCTTTACCAGCTGAGCCACAAGGGAAGCCCAAGAATACTGGAGTGGGTAGCCTATCCCTTCTCCAGTGGATCTTCCTAACCCAGGAATCGAACCGGGGTCTCCTACATTGCAGACTCTACCAAATGAGCTATCAGTGAAGCCCTCTTAATGTCTATTGTCAAATATTATAGTTGTCAAGAAATGCATCACAAATTCATTTAAAAAGTGATGAGAAGTTAGGAAGCAATTCTCTTGGAGAGGAAACTGAATGGTTTCTGGAGATGTTAAAAAAGATAGGCTGACAAGTACAGTGTTCTGGAAGGCCTGGTGTTGGTCTGGGTTCCGCTGACAGAGTAAAACCCTGGGCGAATATACGTCACCCTCTTGCTTTCACCGAGGCAAATTGGACATCTGATTTACAGGCCGGGGGTGGGGAATCCCCTCCATTTTTGGCCTAAGTTATGGCGCTTAATCCGGAGAAGGCAATGGCACCCCACTCCAGTACTCCTGCCTGGAAAATCCCATGGATGGAGGAGCCTGGTAGGCTGCAGTCCATGGGGTCGCTAAGAGTCGGACACGACTGAGCAACTTCCCTTTCACTTTTCACTTTCATGCATTGGAGAAGGAAGTGGCAACTCACTCCAGTGTTCTTGCCTGGAGAATCCCAGGGATGGTGGAGCCTGGTGGGCTGCCGTCTATGGGGTCGCACAGAGTTGGACACAATTGACACGACTTAGCAGCAGCAGCAGCAGCATGGCGCCTAATCAACCGGCTCATTTAACCATAAATGTTAAGAAAAGCTGATTTAAACGTGGGCTTCTGAACTTTCTTGAGGCTGTAAGAGCTCATCCTCTGTCCAACCGTTGCATTCAGGGTAACAGTCTTTTAATGAACCTCATTTCACACTTGCACAGACTAGACCAGCTTGGTTGCAAGTGGCAGGAAGCTCCCTGTGCAGATGCCCTGCCCAAGGCTGGGTGGAGCAGGTGGGGGTTGGGGGTGGGGATCTGCATGAGCACAACCCAGCCCCTCTTCAGAAAACCTTTCCTGTCTCTGACTGCCAGCACCTGCCAATTCCCCATCAGCTTTCTCCTGTAATATTTCCTATGTCCTTCACTACCGCGGTAAACGGCTGTAAAATGGTAAGTATCCACACCCTCAATCCCATCCTTCCTGCCCCTTCCCTGGTTTATTTTTCCTTCCTTAGCTCTTAGCTACCATCCAACACAATATTTGATTTTGTTTACACATTTTGTTTTTTGTCTCTCCAGCTGGAAGTCAGCTTCTTGAGGTCAGGGCCTTTCTTTTATGTTTACTGTCTTATCTCCATCACCTAAAACAGCACATAATAGCTGTTGAGTAATCATCTGTGGTCTGAAAGGAAGAGCGGCAGGCCCTACCGTTCAAGCCCTCTTCATAGCTCTTAGGACACTGGCTCAGAATCGCTAAACACGCCCCGCTGGTTTCCTGGCAGAGCGAACGCTGAAGGCAGTGGTGTCACAGGCAGGATCCCTGGGCCTGCTCTGCGCCATCGCAGGGATCTGTGCTCAGAAGGGGCCTCTGCTTTAACGCTCTGCCGTCACCGTTCTCAAAATCGCCAATAATTTTTTTCTTTGAACGTCTGCTTTGTAAGTGAAGGGAGCACGGAGCGTGCACTGCGAGTGCCCGTCACGCGTTTCCGCAGGGCCCTGGGCGCCTGTGGACCACGGGGCTTGGTGTGCCACGCGTGCGCGCTCGGTGAGATGCGAGCCGCCGCGGGCTGAGCGCGTCGCATCTCTGCCGGAGTCCGCAGAGGCTCCTGCAGCCTGAGAAGCCGTCTGCATCAGAACTTGCTTGGAAAGCAGGAAGAAAGCGAGGAACACGCTGGTTATGCTCTCTCAGTCCTGCTCCTCTCCTGGTGAGCCGACTGCTTGCTCTGACAACGATGCCATGGAAGAAAATGGAGACAGAGCCAGCCACACCACCGCTCCTTACTTGTCAGTCAGATGAGGGTGGCCGGGCTGGCACTCTGCTCTGTATTAAAGAAGGAAAATTAAGGTGAGTTGAGTCAGTGACCTGCAGCATTAACACGGTTCTGTCAAGAACTAAAGACCCACGCCAGTACCAACTCTGAAATAGGAGTTTTGTCCAAGGTGCCTGTGTGTGCATTTAAAACTGGCTTTGCACACACAGTAAAATTCATGCTGATACTTTAAAACTTTACCTTACCTTTTCTGAGAACATGAGCTAGCAAATAAAACATCCAGGGAAGAAAGGAAAAAGGTGTATAGTTTAGTACATTTAATGACACTTTTTCTTGCTGTTTGAACAAGGGGACCCACAAGTGGGCCCCACAAATGCATTAGCCGGCCCTGTTTGTCATGTCTGTGGTTGAGTAATCCAGTCGTCCTGTCAAAGTCTGGGGTCTTGTTTCTTAAATAATTATCTAAGTATTGTTGCCACTGCTGTTTAATTGCCGTGCTGTGCTGTGCCTAGTCGCTCAAGTCCTGTTCGACTTTTTGCGACCCCATGGACTGTTGCTTGCCAGGCTCCTTCGTCCACAGGATTTCCCAGGCAAGACTATCAGAGTGAGTTGCCATTTCCTTTTCCAGGGTATCTTCCTGACCCAGGAATTGAACCCACGCTCCTGCTTTAGCACTGAGCAACCTGAGAAGCAGGAAGCCAAACTTGTCAGCAGATTGTGTTCCACCTTTTGTTGTTGTTGTTGTTGTTTAGTGGCTAAGGCGTGTTTGACTCTTTTGGGACTCTGTAGACCGTAGTCTGCCAGGCTCTTCTGCCCATGGGATTTCCCAGGCAAGAGTCCACCTTCTTTTACACGTCAACTATTTGGAACATGGCACCTACTTTCTCATGGAAACATTGTTTTGAATTGTGTTTCCCCGGTGACTCAGGCGGTAAAGCGTCTTCCTACAATGAGGGATACCGGGGTTCGATCCCTGGGTCAGGAAGATCCCCTGGAGAAGGAAATGGCAACCCAGTCCAGTACACTTGCCTGGAAAATCCCATGGACAGAGGAGCCTAATGGGCTACAGTCCCTGGGGTCGCAAAGAGTCAGACACAACCGAATGACTTCATTTCCACTTTTTTCTTTTTCTCCAAGCTAGCCCTGAAAAACATACCAAAACAATAATTTGGCAGATTGTCTTCAGTTTATTTGAGCTGTTGGATTAATGGAGCTAAAGACCATTAGTGCTGTTTGCACTGTTGGGTGCATTGTTGGGTGGAGCCGTGGGAATTCTGGTTGGTTCTGGCCAATGAGCTGTGAGCCCTGGCGTGTGTCACCCAAGGCCAGAGTCTAATAGACAGTGTGAGATCCTCTGAGGGAAACTCTGCCATCGTGACTGGCAGTATTCCGGTGATGGCTCCCCATCAGCCTGGGTACCAGGGAGGGGATGACACAGCAGGGCCCCCGTGGACTGGGATGGCGTGGAGCTTTATCAGAGCATAGCCTCACCTGCTCTGATTGATGAAGTTGTCAATCAGAGTTCTTTGATTGTGAGCAACAGAAGCCAGTTCTGGCTAATTAAAGCAAAAAGGCATTTGTTATATATATTCTGGGGGCAGCTCACAGACTTGAAGAAAGAAAGGCCTGGGTCTTAGGCAGTAAGACAGCACCAGGACTCTTAGTTATTCCCAGGCCGATACCAGCGCAACTCAGCTCCAACCATTTTCTACTCCTTTGTTACCCCACCCAAGAGCCAGATTTTGGGGAGAGAGGGCTGGATCGTCTTAGTTTGGGTCATCTGCCCCTCACTTGTGGCTTCCCCGGTGGTGCAGTGGTAAGGAACCCACTTGCCAATGTAGCAGACGCAAGAGACATAGGTTCGATCCCTGGGTAGGGAAGATCCCCTGGAGGAGGGCATGGCAACCCACTCCAGTATTCTTGCCAAGAGAATCCCATGGACAGAGGAGCCTGGCAGTTACAGTCCATGGGATTACAAAGCGTCAGAGTCAACTGGGTGACTGAGCATGCATGCATGCCATTTCCTCAGCCAGGAGCTGAGGACCTTGATGGACAGTAACACTGCCCACAAAGAGACATGCAGATGTTTGTTTCCAAAAGCAACAGACGTCTACCAGCGCTGCTTGTGCACTCTTGGAGTAGCCTAGAGGGGTGGATGGAGAGGAACGCAACATGAAGCTGACCATACCCCTGGGTGTGATTTCATAAGTTGGGGTCTGTAGCCTGGGGATGCTGCTGTCGTATTTTGTGTTTGAACATCATAGTGGCTGCTGCAGGCACTCTGGGTTGCTGAGGCCTCTCTCTTAGCCTTCAGGCCAGCAGTTCTTTTTTTTTTTACATTTGAGAAAGTAGTAAGGATTTTTATTGTCAAAACAAGTAAGAGATACAAGCATAACAGAAGACACAAATAAATTAATTCTGATCATTTGAGACTCCAGGGTGCCTCTGGGGGAAGGTCAGCTCAGCTCCTTGAGTAGACACAATAACGTCCAAAGCAAAAGACAGCAGGAATGGGAGACAGCGTTGAAGACAGGGGTTGTACATGTACACAGTGAAGAGAAGTGAAAAAGTGGCTTCCCCAGTTCCTTTCCTCAGTGAGGTACATGTTTACAAAGTCATGAGGCTCATTTGAGGGGAAAATGATTGCCAGCAGTTCTTAACCCTGGCTGCACACAAGGGGTGGGGATGGGGAGGGAGGCTTCTGTAAAAATAACCAACGCTGAGGCCTTACTCCTGAGATTGAGGTTTAGTAGTCTGGTGAGCTTGGATATCAGAATTTATTAACAGCTCCCCTGGTTAAGTTAACACATAGCGAAGGTTGAATGATCTGTTTTGGGATCTTAACTGGCCATGGCCCCCACTGTCACACTTGGGTGGGAGGACTCAGTGTGGAGAGTTTCTCTCCTGTAGGTTTATTGCCAGAAGCAAGTTCAAACTTCTTTTTTGTTCTAGAAAAGCTTGAGATATTTTTTTCCCCCTGCAGTAGTTTAGTCCTACTTTATTTACCCAAATGTAACTTTAGGCTTGTTGCTGAAACAAATATACTGACTTAGCCCTCAGAGGAGGAGATGAAATACCAGAAAGACTTGGGGCTGGACCGTGTTCATCTGTCGTGTCTTTCTGCCCTGGGTGCCCAGGTGACCCCTGTAAGGTCCCTCCACCCTCAGTTCCTGCCTGGGGAGAAAAAGGGACGATCAAAATCCTTCAGATACAGATCCACCTGCCACAACAGAGTGGTGAAGTCGCATCTCAGGTCCCTGGTCCCAAAGCCTGGCCAAGCAAGGGTGCACGTGCCCTTCCAGGGGCTCCGGCCCACCTCCCTCCGCTCGGCGGTCACAGCCGGAGCGGGAGCGGCTGGCCCCTGGGGGTGGGGCTCGTTTTACCCTTGAATTGCCATTATCATGAGATCTGTCCCCGCTGAGCTGCTTGCTGTCTTTCATTCCAACTTAGCGTGTTCCATGTTGGCGCCACTGACCTCCGTCATCTGCTTGAGCCTGAGGAAGAAATAAACACTGACTCCGGCTTTGGGAGGCCTTCCAGAACAGGTGGCCCAGGGCTCCTTGCAAGCTGTAGGTGGAGGCGTTTCTGGACACATCTGTGTGGGGAGCGGGGAACGTGGTAAGCCCAGGCCACTGAGCCCCTTCCGTGTGACTCAGGCGGCCGGCCCCCACCGGCCAGCTGGAAGGACGGCAAGCAGAGCCTCCCCGTTATGGGGGTGAGGCCGGGGCACGGCTCCCCCCGCGGCAGCCTTGTTTGGGGGCTTACCGGCCACAGCCTGGCCCGGGTTGCTCCCACGGGTTCTCTCAGCCACATGCCAGCACCCCTGGCACTTTGCACTGCTGGTTTGACCTCTGGGGAGCATGTTCTTAAATCCACTCACGAAGTCAGGCAGCCTCACAGAGGAAGCAGCAACGGGTCCCTTAGAATCAGACTGTTCTGATGGAGGAAGGCGAGAGCATCTGACTTTTCCCAAGGGAAACTTTTCACAGGAAAAAATGTAAAAACTCTCCCCAAAAGTCTCAGAATCGGCAGTGAAGGCTCTAACTGGGAAGCGGCGTGGTGTCTACACAGGAATGGTGAGGCTCCTTCTGCCATGTTGACTGCTGACCGGAGGCTTCCTGTCCCCGTGGTAACTTACCGGTGATCCCGGGAGGGCGGGCAGCCAAACGGTTAAGATCGTGGTCTTTGGAATCAGGTGGACCTGCGGTTAAGACTCAGTTTGTATGGTTATGAACCTTGTGAACTTACAGAGTCACTTGACTTTGCTAAGGCCTCGATTCCTTCCTTTAGAAATTGGGGATGTACGCGTTTAACTGAATTTGCATTTTCTTTACTTCTTCAAGTCCTTTGTTCTCTTAGCTGTAAACTGGGGATAGCAGCTGTTCCTGGGACTTCCCTGGTGGTCCCGTGGTTAAGAATCTGGCTTGCCAATACAGGGGACATGGGTTGGAACCCTAGGAATCTAGGAAGATTCCACACGCCGCAGGGCAGCTGAGCCCCTGCTCCGCGACCACGGAGCCTGCAGCCTGGAGCCTGTGCGCTGCAGCGAGAAACCGCCAAGCGGAGAAGCCCCTGACCTCCGCGACCAGGAAAAGCCCGTGGGCGGCAACGAAGACCCAGCTCAGCCAAAAATAAATAAATAAATAAAACCCCCAAAGCAAAAAACAAAGCCACAAAACGAAGCGCAGACCAATTGTTCTAACCTCAGAGGGTTGTTGTGAGGATAAATGATACAAGGTTTTTGAAGCTTTTAGGCCAGTACTACGCACACAGTAGTCGCACATAAAATGGAAGCTGTTTTTATTAGGAATGATGGTATCTGCCATCTCTGTTGTAAGCAGTTCTTTGGATCAAATGAAGCAAGGTTTGCAAAAGCACTTGGAAAGCTGGAGATGGGCATACGTATAAGATAATTGTTTGGAAACTGAATTCCGCTGTTGATTGAATGATTAATTTTTCTCCTTTAACAGTCAGTGTAGCCATTGGTGGGCTGATGAAGGGTCCTCAGAAGCCAGAGCCCTCACTGGTTCCAGGCCCTGCTCTTACCTTCAGTCGAGGGCTAACCTGATCACTGCATGAAGGCAATATGAAACTTTTCCAAGACTCACAACTCTGATCTTTTATTTTTGGCAGGATGATGTCAATCTTTTTTACTTTTTGAAAACCTTCACCAGATTTGTCCCTTCACCACTAGTCTCTGAGAAGCCCTATGATTAATGGGGACCCATTGTTGGGCTCTTACGTAAGGAGTCAGAGCTGAATCCCTGCTTCCCGGGGTGCGGCTGCTTAGCAGGATGCGTGTGGCCTTGCAGCTTATCTGGCTTTCATGGTTCCTGTGGAAGTTCAGCAGTGCTGTGGGGAATCCTTTATCCTGAGAAGTTGCAAGATAGCTTGTTTTCCAGTAAACCTAGAATAAGCATCGAGTTATCTCTTGCCGTGTAACCACTGCCCCCCACTTCATGACTCAGAGCGCCGACAGGGTTCTGTCTGCTTGTCTGTGCCGCCCTGTCTGTCCTGCAGCATCGGGACCTCGGCTGTGAAGGCGCAACGGCCGGAGGCGGTCACAGGGTGGGCGGAGGGAGGCATCTTCCCTCATAAATTCCAGCAATGTTTTATGTGGATCATGTTTTTAAAAGTCTTTATTTAATTTGTAACAGTATTGTTTATGTTTTGTGGGTGGTTTTTTTTTTTTTTGGCTGTGAGCATGTGGAAATCTTAGCTTCCTCTCCAGGGATCAGACCCATACCCCCTGCGTTGAAAGGTGCAGTCTTAATCGCTGGACCACCAGGGACATCCCCAGCATTTTTTTAAAGACAGTTTAAGAACACTAGTCAAAGTGGGTGGAGCGCTTAAGCTTATTTGGAAGAGAGATGCCAATATCCGCACGCTGGTGCCTTGTGTGAGACTGAAGGTGTGGTTTGTGAGGCTGTAGGCTGTTTAAAGTCCCTCTTGTACCACTCAAGCTAAGATGCTAACTTCCTAAAGGAGCAAAACTTCCTCGTTTTGCTGAGATCCCAGACAGATCATCTGCTTTCACATAAGCAGAGACGTAGCTCATACCTGACTCCAGTTACCAAAATAATATAGTCACAGCTGAGAGCCTTCTCTGATTAAACTCTACTTAATAGCCGTACAATTTCCTATTCACTGTATCCTGAGGAGAGTTTACGTCTATTTGCACTGGTTTACTATAATTTGAAAAGTCCTAAGTTCAATCATAGTTTCTTAAAAAAAGAAAGTAATAATGTAAATGTGTATATTTGTATTTTTTAATCAGCAGGGTCAGGGCATGGACAGAAAGGGGAAATACTGATGGATAGACAAATTCATAGCAGGACAGAGAAGATAAAAATCATGTTTCATTCCCCCTTCCAGAGATAACTGCTAATACACTTTCACCCACTCTTTTTTAGTGGCATATATTTAAAACATCTTGTTATAAATATGATGCTCAATTGTTATAGAAAATTAAAGAAAAAAACTTCATAATTCCCCCTTAAGGTAACCAGTGTTACCATTATGATGTCCTTTTTTTCTGCCCTGTACATATAGGCAAACAATGAATATGCATTTTCCCAAACAAAAATCATAGCACAAACTTTAATTGTACTAGATAGAAATGATAGCACACGGGGAACACACATATTTTGCATTTCAGTCTTATTTATAAACATTGATGGAAAATATCATAAAATATTGGTTATAAGATCCATCAGTCTGCTTGAAGAAATGTAGCATGAGCAAGTGAATTTCATTTCAGGAATGCAGAGATAAAGAATATTAGGAAATCTGTTAATCAGTCTTATGTGAGCACTTTATATGATCATTTTGATACTGAAAAGTCATATGAAAATTCACATAATTTTTAAAAATCTGAAATGAATAGTAATACCCTTGACTGGACACAGTTCTGTTAGAGTCAAAGAAAAATAAATGGCACCCTTTTCTCCTTGTTTAAAAGTACATGTCAATATAGTGAGCAAGACAATGAAACAAGTCTATTGGAGAGAAGAAGGCAAAATTGTCGTCATTTGAAGATGATATGATTGTTTACCAAGAGAATCATTAAAAGGCTTTTGGAAGTAATAGCATTCCCTGTAGTTTACAAGTACAAGTTAAATATATATATATAATTAATGGTTTCTTATATTTCAGCATCAACCAATTAGAAAATGTAATGGAAAAGATATTCTATTTACAAAAGTATCAAGGAAATGAAATATCTAGGAATATTCAAAACCCCAAACAAAATTGAATAAAATCTGTATGAAACTCTCCTGAGAGAAATAAGGTTGGGATGCATGGAAAGACACACATTCTCAAGCCAATCTATAAATCCTATGTAAACTCTATAAAAATCCCAAGTGCTTACAAATGAATTCCGAAACTCATAGGGGCAGGGGAGCAAAATGAAAATAGCCAGGACAGTTCTGAAAAAGGCAAGTCACAAGGAGGTGCTTGCCCACTTAGTATTAGCAGGTGCTGTGCTGTGCTGTGCTCAGTCGCTCGGCCATGCCTGACTCTTTGTGAACCCATGGAATGTAGCCCGCCAGGATATTCTGTCCATGGGGATTCTCCAGGCAAGAATACTGGAGTGGGTTAGAAGGTATTACTAAGCTATAGCAACTAAGTGTGTGTAATATCAGTGCGGCAGCAGACAGCTCAATGAAACAGGATGGTGCAGACCGGAGTGAGTGTGTGTGTGCTGTGGGCTGAATTATGTCCCCCCAACATTCACAAGTAAAAGTCCTAACCCCCAGTATCTCAGGATGTGATGGATTTGAGATAGTGGAGGGTCTTTAAAGAGGTCGTTGAGTTAATATGAGGCTGTTAGGTTGACCTTAATCCGATATGACTGGTGTCAGTGTAAGAAGGGCAGATTGGGACACAGACCTTGTGCACAGAGGGGAGACCGAGTGAAAACGCAGGAAGACAGCCGTCTAAAGACAAGGAGAGAGGACTCAGAAGAAATCAGCGCTGCTGACACTTGGGTCTCAGATTTCTAGCTTTAGAACTATAAGAAAATGAATTTCTTGTTATGTGCCAGCCTGAATGGGATGGGGGTCTGGGGGAGAACGCACACAGGTATATGTATGACTGCGTCCCTGCACTATCCACCTGAAACTACAACATTGTTGATCGGCTACACCCCAATTCAAGAAGTTTTTGGTGTTAAAAAAAAAAAAAAGAAATTTCTGTTGTTTATGCCCTTCAGTCTGCCACTTGTTATGGCAGCCCTAACAAACTAGGACAGTGTTTATGTGCATGTGATAAAGGTGGCATTTCAAACCCCTGACGGCTACCTAGCAGAAACACCATGAAGCTTGATCCTTACTTCAATTTTTATACCAAAATAAATTGTAAATACTAAAAATTCAAAGATTAAAAATTAACCATGAAATACTAAAATATGGGTAACTATCTTTATTGTCGTGAAATGCAGAAGGTAAGATACCAAAGGGAAATGTAGAGGAACATTTTATAGATTCAGGTACATACAATTAAATAAAACAGTTTGAAGATTAAGAATAATAAAGTTGAAATACAAATGACAAATGAAGGCAATATGTTTGCAACAATTATGACAATAAGTTAATATCTCTAAGATACAAAGGACATTTACAAATTAATATTAATAAGTCAAGGCCTTTAAAAATGAGCAAAGGACATAAACAGCAGTTCACAAAAGACTAAAAGCAAATGAGAAATAAATACATTTTCTCATTCGTAATTAAAAGAATACCAATTAAAGCAATAAAGATAGTCCTTGTTTGTGTTAATTGGTGGCAACTGCAAAGAGGGACAGTAGCAGGTTTGGGGGCCATGGGCTTTTGAAACTCTTGCTGCGGGTGTAATTGGTTCAGACTTTCTGGAGGGGAGCTTGACAGTATGTGTTATTATTAGGACAGGCATATTCTTCAAGGCTGGTTTCTGATTGTGTCTAAGGAGATGATTGGACATACGTGTAAAGGTGATTGCATGAGTGTGCTCCTTGTGATATTTCCTACATTTTTGTAATAACAAAATTACAAAAATGTAATAACTTTTTTGTTATTACAAAAATGTAGGAAATATCCACCAGTAGGAAATTAGTTGTACTCTGGAATACAATATGGCCATTCAGATTAATGGCCCAAAAATATGTCTGTATTTATTATTATGTAAAAATGTCTATTAGCAACTCAGTGGAATAAACAATTTGAAAAAAATGGATATCATGATTCCATTTTGCAAAATTATATGCCCAGAAAGATGTCTATAAGATAATTTGTTAGACTGTTAGCGATTGCCTGTTGATGATAGAATTTAGGATAGTTGTCATTTTTTTGCTTATTGTTTGTAATGTTTGGAATTATGATGAAAGAAAACTGTTTTTATCATCAAAATAACAGATGAATAAAGCTGTTTTCCTTTGGGGAAAACTATTCATAAATATTTTTAATCATTGTAAAATAATAACGGTTCCTCTATTGTTAGGCATTTACATTTTTCTAAATTTTCAGTATTATAAATAGCACTGTGATGAACTTTTTTGTGCACAATGTTTGTTCATATTTCAGATTATTTTCTTGGAGTGAAATTACTAGATCAAAGGTATGAACATTTTTAAAGCCCTAGATACATATTGTTAAATCATTTCTCAGAAATGGCTTTGTTCATCACACCCTTATCAATATTGAGTATTATTACTCTAGATAATATTTTCTAAAGTAATGGGAGTAAATGATGTTCCATTGCTATTTTTATTTGAATTTCATTTTTTAACAGATTTAATAGTCACTAAAGAAGATACTTCTGTAAATTCTTTAGTCATATCATATGCATTTTTCTGTTGAAGTCTTGCTGCTTAACTTTTAACTATTAAAGATATAGAAACATTTTGTCATAGTAATATTAAAAAAATTTGAGTTAATAGTAAGATTTTTGAGTTTTAAGTTGTTTGGATTTCCCTGGTGGCTCAGACATTAAAGAATCTGCCGGGAATGCAAGAGACCTGGATTTGATGCCTGAGACAGGAAGATCCCCTGGAGAAGGCAATGGCAACCCATTCCAGTATTCTTGTCTGGAGAATTCCATGGACAGAGGGGCCTGATGGGCTATAGTCCATGGGGTCGCAGAGAGTCGGACACAACTGAGCAACTAACACTTTCACTTTCTTTCACTTTTAAGTTGTTTAATTGTTGCTGTTCAGTTGCTCAGTTGTGTCTGACTCTTTCCAACCCCATGGACTGCAGCACACCAGGCTTCCCTGTCCTTCACCATCTCCCACAGCTTGCTTCAAACTCATGTCCATTGAGTCAGTGATGCCATCCAACCATCTTGTCCTCTGTCATTCGCTTCTCCTCCTGCCTTCAATCTTTCCCAGCATCAGGGTCTTTTCCAGTGAGTCAGTTCTTTGCATCGTGG